TATATATATATAATTGTTTTTTTTTACTATAATTATCTCAAAAGTTATACTTGTAAGCTTTTATATTATCAACTTGGGGATTGTTTGTCTAGGCTTAAAAATAAATATTTTTAAGAGATTCTTATATTAGTAGAAGTTAATTTATGTTTTGTTAATGTTATAAAAGCATTTATTTTTGAAAAAAAACTTCATCCCTCTCGTAGTTGTTTAACTTGCTTCTCATGAAAAATAGTTTTTTTTAAAACCTTTTTATTACTTCTAATTATATCAAAAACAAATTCTTGACAAAATTTCCCAACGTGTCTAAAATTTTAGTAAGAACTTTTTTTTAATAATGTTTTTTAATAATAAAAAAAAGGGTTAAACAAACTTTCTCCTTATGTATGGTAAAAGTTTGTCTGCTCTCTTTTTTTTTTTTTCCAAACGTTATCATCTTTATTATTTATTTACAAAACACACAATATTTCCCACATCTGACTTCCTCCAAGAGTTACCCTTTGAGAAAAAAGCTGCCAAAACCTTCATAAACTAAACATGGTAAATTGCACATACACAGCAGGTGCAACGAGAACCCCCACGTCGCGGTCGTCCCCGGAAACGATTTGAACCAAGCGATGCGGTAACTTCGCCTTATAAACGTCGAAAGGTAACCGTCGAGATCTTTCTTGTCCATGCATATGAAAATGTTGTTTTGTGGAAATTAACAGAATGAGATAATTTGTGGTTCTTGATTTATTGCAGAAGGGTTTCGCTAGAGAAAATGCTGGAAAAACACCCTTATCCCAAGCAAACAGCACTCCTCATGGTGTAGATCAGAACGCCAATGCTGAAATAGCGAGGTATTCCTCTACACCTACTGATCATTAGCTTCACTTTACCATTTTTTGCATTTCAATTTATTATTGAGTGCAGCAAAATTGAATACTTTTTTCATGTTTTTAAATTTTTCTCAGGAACTTTGTCAACACTATGTATGACCCGTCATTTGAGAGGGCTGGTGTTCCCATTGACCCTCTTATCAGATTGTTAAACAAAACATCTGGTAATTATTACTATTACTTTCTTTAACAATTCTACTTACTAATCATTGTAGAAATCTTTTTTTTAGGTTATTAAATTACAAGCCAGATATATATATTTGACAAGAACGATGTTGTTCTTCATGCAGAGAAACTTGCAGTGCCTGCGCCTGCAACAACGATGTAAGCTTCTGGAATCCTCAAGAACAGGCGAATTGAATGATGTCAATTCTCAAAGATATTGGACAATGATGTCAGTAGTTTGAATAATTTGAAACAATGGTTATAAACTTCTAGACAAATAAAGTTGTGTAAACAATAAGACAAGTTCTATGCAATAAACTCCTGTCCATTTTGGTTTTCATTTCTGACTGGAAGTTTTTGAGGATTAATATATGGTTACATGTGTGGACATGTGGTTAGTGAAATCATAAAAATGAATTTTGGTTTGGAACTTTTGATAATATGTCAATGCATGATTAGTTTTCTTAATATCTTAAGTTGTTAGAATGCTATGAATGATTTTATATTTCTAACAAAATTTATGAACAACGATATTTTGTTGGATTAAATGTTTTATGAGTAAATACTTACTGTCGTCTTTGAGTAACAAATATAGAGCCTGCGTGTATCTGTAACGAGGATTACAGAAAGCAAATTCTTTTTCTTTAAATAAAGGAGAGCTATTTGTTAAGAAAATTTTTAGTACAAATTTGTATGAGAAGAAATCTTAACTAATAAAAGTAGCATATTTTCCTAAGAGAGAGAAACTGGGTGCCAATGAATTTTATAAGTTAGAAAAATGAACTTCCTTTTCATAAGTTAAATAGAAGTCTATAGTTTATTTCTTTGGAAAATTTTCAAACTCCAATTTGGTTGGTCTTGTAACCGCAACGCATTGTACAAAAGCCTCCCACATAGAGCATTGTTTTAATTAGGGTGTCAATTAAATTTTTTAAAGACTAGTATAGCAATGTATATGTAACATAAAAGGTTTAAAATGTTTTTTTTTTCTTCTTTAAATAATAGAATGGAGAAACTAAATAGTGGTTGAATAGAAGCAGATATGTAAAAAGAAGAACAAATAGGTAGAGGGGGAATACGATGGAAGAGGGGTACGAAAAGGAGGGGTGGTAACAGTGGTAGTGTGGTACAGAGTCCATGATCAGGTCATGCGCCACGTCAATCATGTTTCAGTGTATTCTCCACTACCAAACAATTTTTTGAGTTGGCAGATATTGAAATAAAAATTTAAAAGTATATTTCAATTAAAGATATTATTAAAAAATACTTTAAAAATAGAAGAGGGTTTGGGAGAACAAGTATGTAGCATATCCTTTTCCTCTTTGCCACATGACCGACACAGTTTGTTAAGTTTTTTATTATTTTTATTTTTTATTTTATTTTTAGAATTGAATCTAATTTATCTTTTATTTTATATATTTCAAACTTAATTAGTTTTTCAATGTAGATTTTTTGGGTTCGTTCCTGAAGTATCACCGCCGATAGTAGTGACTAATCTCCTCGCTAGGTTGGAAGCACCTCAAAGGGTGGAATAACTGACTCAAAGATTTAACGCGACTGCATACATAAGACAGGATTCGAACCCCTGACTTTACTTAAGCGTGGATCAACCCCTATCGCTGAACCACACGCTTGGAGTTTTTTAATGTAGATTTTGAGTTGAAAAAAGGTCGATAGACAATTTATAATATTATAATTTTTTTTAAAGAAATGGGTGGTTAACTCTATCTTTGAATGAGATAGTGTCTTGCTTTAGTTTAATTTTTTTCTTACAAAAATATATCCTTTCTCTCTTTAATTCTTTTTCTTTTTTTTCTTAAAAGGGTATTTTTAGAATTTTTTTAATAAAAAATAGTGCTTTTAGAATTTTTCCATCATTTTATATCTTTTAACGTGTCATTTCATCTTTACTTTTAAATTAATTATAATATTTTTGAATTAAAAAAGCATAAACAATTGAAAATTATATTGTATTACAATATAATTATTTATCACAATTTTAAAATAAGTTTTATATATTAAAAATATTAATCATTATAAATCTAATTGTATTATAGTTTATATATTCAAAAAAATTATTTATTATAAAGTTGAATTGAATAATATAAATATTTATTATGTACATTGTACATATTTTTTATTATTAAAAATTATAATAATAATAATAAAATTTAAATATAATATTTTATACAGATTATTTCAATCTCATCATTAAATTGACTAATGACTATAGGAGATATAGTTAATATTATTTTTCAATTAGAATTTGAGTTTTACTTCTATATTAATTTTAACTTTAATTAAAGAACGATATCAACCACATTTAAAGAATCGAAACTAATTATACATCTTATAATTAATTGGCTAAGCAACAATACCAAGTAGATAAACATAAGTGAGTTAACTCATAATTATTGCCCACTTTCTGCATTGAGTCTCATAAAACAAGGGGCTTGAAGAAAGTGTTCTGGTCGGAACTGAGTTGGTAAAATTTCAGAATGAGATCTCATAACCATAATATAAGACTACCTTTTCCATTCTTTTGTCTAATTAAGCTCTTCCATTTTTGTGGCTCTCAGACTTTTATTTTGTTACAGATCAAGTCTCATTTTCACATCCAAAGCATTTGGCTTTCTCAAGGAGGGTAACCGTGAGGGTCGTATGCCATGGCTCTACCTTTTTCCTTATTTTAATTGAAACAAAAAGTTTTTCTTTTTCTTTTTCTTTTTCTTGTTTTTTTATTATCACACGTATTTTTTTTCTTATTTCATTTGGAGGGATATGGCATGAGTTGAAAAAGATAGCAATATTTTATCATTTTCTCAATTTGTTGACTAAGATATGCATTTTTATACCACTTCAGCCACTCATGTTTCCCCCTTTTATTTGGGTCGTTTACAGGGTTGAGAGCGGCACATCAAAGTTCTAAGGAAAAATCCTAAATTTTGAGGTAATTATACTCAACTGCGACTGTATAAGAATTTAATGATTTTTGTTAGAGAACAATGCAAGCAAAGCATCTTGTGCATGGTATGAAGATTAAGCATATAAATAGGAATCTTCTTGTTTTATGTTTGGATGAGTTGTTGTGTTTTTTGTTTTTTCTCTTTTACACAACTATAACATGATTATGCTTAACCAAGAATTAGATTTTACTTGAACTGTTTGATTATTTGCATATTTGGATTAACTTATGAATTGGGTAAAATCACATCTCACTTAATTATTAAAAATGCAAAAATTATAGTAGCTTTTTATTTCTAGAGAAACCGCATGTCAGAAGGAGTCAGATGTGGACCAAATATATATTTTAAATATACGTGTTTAAAAATTATTTATTTTTCTCTAACATATTAACCTGCTTCAAACTGTGTTTGTGAAAGAAAAGATTATCCTCTCACTATTAAGGTGATAATATTTTCATTTGCACATTAAGATGGATGTTAAGTAAAAATTAGTAAGTAATTTGACAAATTATTTTAATTTTAAAAATTAACTTTACCGTGAGTAAAATAAATTTTAAGAAATATTTTCCTTTTGTTTTTAAAGTAATTAAATAAACTTAATGTTGGATATAATATTTATTAAAAAATTTTAAAAAAATATTTATACTTCAAAAATATTTTACTGTTCAAAAAAATTAAATTAATTTAAAATATGGTTTTAAAATATAAATTAATTTTTAAAAATATTTTTTTAATAAAAAATTCATTCAACATTAAATTTTAAATTATAAAAATTTGAAAAGATATTGTTTTGCCCATCCCCGGGGAACTACTATTTTCTTTTTTTCTTATGAAGAAAATTTACACGAACCTCGTTTGAAAAATGCTTTATATTCACTATTAATTATCTTAAGTACGCAAATTAATATTGTTTATATCTTTATTTTTAGTTGTATTTTAAAATATTACTGTAGAATATAATATATATTTTCTTTTTGATACCCCTCTTTTCTTTTTAATATAACACATCATTTCTTTTTCGGTAAAACATGAGTTTCACTAAATGTGTCTATCTCTATTTTAGATCTTTATCTCTAAATTAATTAGTCTCACATACATATCATTAATACAAAAGAGTGTGTTGAAAACAAAGAATTAGAAAATATATAACTTTTCACTCTTATTTAATACAGTAATTTATGTCCCATGAAATAATGGTTCTATATTTATTAAATAAATGCTTATTTTTCATTTTTAAGAGATTAAAGATAATTTTTATTTAGTATTATCTTTATTATTTTTAATAGTCAGATTCTTATATATAAATAAAAATACAATATATATATTTTCTTTTGCATAAAATAGTTTTAAAATTGTCTATTATATCATTTTCATTTTTACCACCACTAATAATGCATATTAGTTGTAAATGTGTAAATTAATAAAAAAGAATATAGGCAGAAAATACGTCAAAGTATTTGATGTTGTTTCGATATAGCTAAAATTTATCTAAAAACACAAGTTTTACTAGTTTTCACCACTAAATCAAAAGAAACTTAAGAAAACAGTCCTTAGACTCACTAAAATTTGTGATTTCTAAAAATTTCAGTTAATAATAAAAATTTGTTAAAAATAGTGATAAGAAAAATGTTGTTAGCATTCATCTTAAAAAATATCACATTGCTCATTAAAGATTTTAGAAAAATATTAGCAATTCTCTATCTAACACTACATATTATTGATTAAAATTTAGTAAAAATTACAAATTTTAGTAAATTTTACCATTAAATCATAATAGACTTATTAAATGAGAAAAAAAACTCATTAATAGTTATTAAAAGAAACTAATTTTAATGAATCTTATCACCTGATAAAGATAAGAATTGGCTAAATGAGACATAAAATAAAAATAAATTTTAATTTTTAGTTATCAATTTTAAAATATTATGTGAATTATGTAAATGAAAAAACTAACAATAAGAACAGGAGTAATTTTTAATAAATTTTACTAATTAATAATAAAAATTTAAAAATAAATGTCAAATTTTTCTAACTTTCCTCAAACTTGAATTAACATACATTTTCTTTTTTTCTGAATTCTTCTTCACTGCATCCTTTTTTCTTTCTTTCTTTCTCATTACATCAATTATCATAACTTTCATTTCCTTTTTTAATTTGTTTTCCTTTTCATTTTTCCCCTCTGTTTTTCATTTATCTCATCCAACTCAAAATTTGGTACACGCGCGTTATTCATACAAAACAGTGTGTTGGAAGATGAAACGCCTGCTTTAAACTTTCTGTGCGGTCTTATTTGGATTTGAGCAACAATCATTAATTAACTTCTGATGTTTTTATTTGTAAAAGTCAAGTATTTATTCATTATGTACAGTGTATATAAAAGTCAACTTAATCTTCATAGTCTAGTGTGAACGCAGTTTCCGATATCCGGACAACCCGCTTGCGTTTCAGGTCCACCAATTTTATTCAACTTTCTTTGAGGGATTTTATTTCAGCATCATTCATAACAAAACGTTAACATTGTTTCTCACATTTTATTTATACTACCACTATTTGAAATTTTATGTGCCCCACTAAATGGTGGATTTAAAATATTTAATTTAATAATATTTTAGTCTTTTCTTATACTTTTATAAGCAAAAGAAAAAAGAAAAAAGTTAAAGTGAACTTCTTACGTTATACGTTTTCCTTTTCATGAAAAAGTATATAACAAGAAAAGAAAATAACTAGCAAAATGACTCTAGTTTAAAATTTTTACATACAAATTAAAAATAACAATGAATGCACTCTTTTTATACAATTTTACTAAAATAATCTTATTTTTTAATAAATAAATTACATTGAAAAAAAATTGATGTAATTTATGTGGATACAAGTTAAGATTTTTTTCTTTAATATTATATTGAAAACTACGTGTATAAGTTATTTTAATTTTTTTTAAATATTAAAATTACAGTTAATTTGAGACGGAAAAATATTTTATATTTTAGATTTTTTTATTTTTTCATATCTCATTAAAAAATAATGCGGACATATTCTCTATTACTTGCAGAGTGAATATAATATTTCACTTGATATTTAAAGAAAGTGTTAAGAAGGAAGAGTATGTTGGTGCGCATGTTGTAATTTTTGTGAGATTTTATGCCACCCACATTTGTAAATAAAATAGAACTACCGAAGATAACATACATGAACTTAAAAGTCAGAGAAAATAAAGAGTAAAATGTAGGGGGTTAATTAAACTGATATTTTTCCTAAAAAAAAAATGCAACCAGTTACACCTTTATACATTAAAAAATTACATATTTTCATCTTAATATATTAGTTTTACACGTTAGCAAACATTAAGAAGTTAAACATACTTAAACATAAGAATGAATCAACAAGATAAAGAATGCACGTACGTGTAGGAGAGATAGGTGTAAGAATTGAATTAACAAAAATATGTTAATGTACTTTACAAAGTGTAATTATCCTAATCTTTTTCATTCTAATATAATTAGGTATCCTAATTTTTAAACAAGAAAGCATCCTAGTTTGTTGTCTCTTTTGGGTGAGGTCCACCACTTTCAAACCAAATACCATTATAAGACAGAAAGAAGCTTGTCTCTTCTCTTATTAACTTATTATTATATTTCACTCTTTGGTCAACCACAGACATGGATTCGCAGAATGCCTCTGACAACCGTGTTTCATTCATTGACTGGAACGAGGACGGCGCTCTAGTTAACAACATATCAAACTTTCTAGAGTTCAGCAGTCCCCACACCGGTTTGCATGATGCGAATTCAACACCCAAATCTTCTATTTTGGGATCTTTTCAGTCCCAAAATGTTGAGGACCCAGTAACTGAGTTGGCTGCTGTTCCTAACCCTCCAGTAAGAACTAATTAGCTGTCACACTTTTTCTTACCTTCTAGTTTATTTTTCTAAATCTTATTCTTACCATATATGCAAATTTCCTTTTCACAGTTACTATCATTTATTCTTATTTCTTACCTACTTTAATCTTTATTTTTCTTTGAGTTCTCTGACAATGACCATTATTTTGCTTTGAGTAGATAAAATTTTCAGGTTTTGTGGATCTTATTTTTGTGTACGTTTTCAGGTGGTGGGATTTGTTGTTGGAACACCAAATCAGGTCCAAATTCAAACCACTGATCCTTCTTCATCTTACCAGGGATCGTCGTCAAACTCCTCTGGTCATCAAAGCTTTGTGGCTTCTGCTTTTGTTCCGGAGAATCCTAATCCTTTACCCTTGCCATTACCAAATTCTTCAGCCCCACCGCTTAATCAAACGCAACCAAGCCACCCTTTACCATCATCTGCGGTAAATTAATTATTCATCACATCATATCATAATTCATACTGTACCTCTTTTCAATGTTGTTGACTTTTTGTAAACTCTCATAACGCTCCATCAGTTCTCTACATTTGCTTTTCCTATGTCTTAAAATGTTTCTTGTCATACATATGCAACTGACACGTGACTGTACTCTTTTTGTTCATATAATTCAATTAGATGGGATTGGCCTGGGAAGGAGGTGTTAATTCGTCTATTATGACCCAAAAGGGTTACTTCAATCAATTGTCCAACATGCAAAACGAGAATTCGCTTCGGTGAGTTTTTCTTTTTCCTGTTCATTAATGTGTTTATCTTGTCATAACTAGTTTTAGAAACGTTAATGTAGTCTTAATTTTTCACTCATTCCTGTGTTGTAGTTTTCAAGGATTGGGTGTTTCTGATGAGTACCCCACAACCGGAAACAATCCACCGCTGGTGCCAAATACAATCCAAAACAATAATTTCAGTGGAAACAATAACCAGACATCTCCATATCAAGCATTGTTCCACCCAAACTCCGTGAGTATAAATATTGAGAAAACATGTTCCAAAACTAGGGTTGCACTGCATATATAGGCTTTGCTTTTTCAGAATCTTACTGGTCCATTGTTGTTAACATCTCTTGCAGGCACAGGCAAGGCCAGGGATTGAAAGTGGAAATTCAAGAAGCCAAATGCTTATCGGTTCTGCGCGGAATTCTAGGTGGCTTTGACCTTTATTTTAATTACTTAGTAAATTTAACCGGTTATCTCTTGAAAATATTAGTACTATAATAAAGGCGTGGTACACTACATAGTTCATAACCTTAAAACATGCGATATTTGCATCTCTTACGTATGGACCCCACATCTCTCAATAGGTGTGAGGTCCACAATTTTGTTACGCCCCTAATAAAATTTTCAGGCATCAAAGTTGAGCTCTAAAGAGAGGCTTCATTAATTTTTAGAAGTTACAATTAAATGTGTTTGAATGCTCCATGTGCTCATAATAATGACGATTATTTGATTATGAATTTTTAACCGTAGGCCAGAACAGGATCAATTGTCTGCTCCTAATGTCCATGGTTCACAATATGCCCCCAACTATACGCAGTATGGTTCATCTGATCATTCTTATTGCAATCACTTGATTATTAACTAGTTAAAAACAAAATGCATGAACTAATTATTTTTTATTCAGGTCGGCTCAGTCGTTCACTACTCTGCAGAATCAAGTAGGTCATGCGTCTGGAACGCAGGATAATTTTGATTTACAATCTCAAAATTCTAAGCAGCCTGTCAACCCAATTTACCCAAGGTATAAAGATATTATCATCTATTATTTAGAAACGTGCCTTTAAATAAAATTTACTTGTGTTTTCATGGACAAATTTAGCACTTAATAAATCAACATTGGTTGCTTTTTGTTTTAGGTCTGAACTGTACTCAAGTTCAAGTGATCTTCAGTCTGGTTTTGGAACAATGCCATCAAATTCTTATCAACAAGGTTATAGTCCCGTGGTGCCAGGGTCTGCAGCACCATCACCATCGTCTGCGTCTTCCCTTACTCCTACGTATGAAGAGATTAACAACAAATTTCCACTTTGCATACCTTTTAATTTATAATTAAATAATTGTCATTTAGGGTTTTACATTAAATTAAAAACTGTCAAACACCATAAGTTTATGAAAATATAATTATAATGATTAAATTTTTATTTTTAATTTATCAATGTAAATTATCTCTCTTTTTATTTTATAGTGATATAAAAGAACTATAACAAAATTATAAAAAAAAATCTCTTTTAATTAATTTGTCATATAAACAATTGTAAACATTTTTTAAATTACAATTATTTAAAAATTCAGAACTATATCATTCAGCAAATGTGACAATTGACAATATATTAATTTTGCTAAACAAATTATCTTATTGCAGACATTCCCAGTTATTCGAAAAGCAGGACCATCAGCACAATGAAAGGGACAGTGAATCCTCTAAGTGGTGAGCAACCTTTATCAATAACCATTAACACTCTTGAGTAGAAGCATCTTATGGCATTTCTCTACCAACTTCATTGTAATTTCTACATGCTAATTAATAATTCATTAATTTTAAAATAAAGGTATCGGGGTGTGCAAGATCGGATAAACGAATACAATCGAATGATAAGCAATCCTAGCTTGCAACGACCTAGTAGCACATTGCATGAACATAGAGTTCAGTCTTCCAGCTTCAGTAATTCGCTGTCACTCAGCTCAGCAAGGATTCTGGGCCTTTCAAGTACTAGGGCATCTGAAGGAACAAGTCCACAAGTTCCTATCAAGGAGGTTGAGAATGAACGCCTTTTAAGGTATCGGATTTTTTTTTTCATTTGGAATTTTTTTTTTCTTCCATCCGAGATAACATAGATTGTGTGCATGTTTAGTGACATGGCATTTGGGCTAACTTGATTTCCTGAGACAACAAATAGTTATTTTTGTATTAATTAATTTCACCATGATTTTACAAGTGAACTTTCTAATGTCAATCTAAATTCTAAACACTCTGGTATCCATAAATGAATATATATATATATATATATGATAATTTTTAACGATATTTATAAATATAAATTATTCTAACAAATATTTTAACAATATATATATATATATATATATATATATATATATATATATTCATGTCATTAATTTGATTACTGCAATAATGTTATTCATACAACTTTTTTGATTATAATTTTACATTTTTTAGATAATAAAATAAAAACACACTGTATTTTTTTTTTTCTCAATAAAAGTTTGCCTAGCATGCAAAAAGTGGTCAATGCTTCTTCAATTTCTATTGCACTTTACAGTATTCTTTTTTATCAAGAGAAAACATATATTTGATGGGGGATATATCCCAAGCCTTACCCTTAAAAAGTTCCTACTCACTTCAAGGCCATCTTTCATATATATTATAGGACTTGTTATATTATAAGATTAGTTGACTATATATATATATATATATATATATATATATATCTTTTTAAAA